AACCCCCCCTCCCCGCACGCCGTCGACCAGGTTGTTACCCGCCACTTAACCCGCCCGCCATCGCCAGCCAGTGAGTGCTACTACTTCAACTGCTGCGGGGGCCGGGGATGAAGAAGCTGTACCAGGGGAAGGGCCGGCGGGTGCACCCGGCGCCGGCGCCGGGGCCGGACGCGCCCGCGGTGGCGCTCGCCATGCTGCCCGCCACCCTGCTGGCGCTCGTGGCCGCGCTCACCGCCGAGGAGCAGGAGGTGCTCGCCTACCTGCTCTCTGGAGAAGCTGGCGGCGCGGCGGCGGGTGCTGGCGGGGGCCGGTGCAGGCGGCTCAACGGGCCGCACCAGCCGGAGATGGGCTGCGGCTGCTTCGGCTGCTACAAGAGCTTCTGGGCCCGCTGGGACGCCTCCCCCAACCGCCACCTCATCCACCGCATCATCGACGCCGTCGAGGAGGGCAACGGCGGCGGAGGCGAGGGGGCAGCCAAAGGAGCTGGAGGACCAGGCGGCGCCACGCGCCGCGGCCACCGCCGCCGCCGCCGTGGCCGCGGCGGGCCGTGCGCCATCGACGCCGCCGTCGAGGAGCACGGAGCCGCGGAGGCTCAGGCCGGGTGCGCGGATGACCACCTGCAACCGCAAGGCTGCTGCGCGTCGGACGGCGGCGAGGACGGCGACTACGAGGGCGACGAGGACGACGGCGCGGACAGCCTCTACGGCGGCGAGGAGGCCCTGACGGACGACAGCGACTGCGCGGGCGCCAGCAACTCCGCCGAGAAGAGCGCCGTGGGCAAGCTGGTGCGCTTCATCGGCGAGAAGGTGTGGGCCGCCTGGACCTGACCTGACCGGCATCCTCCGCCGCCGCCGCTAGAACTTGTCGTAGATTAGGGAGGAAGGAGACCAGCAAGAAGGTCAGTGAAACCAGTAGTAGTACTAGCAGTTGGGTCGTTTTGTCCAAGCAAGCAAGAGCCGCCGCTCTATGCCCCTTTTGATTTCTTGCAACTCTGATGAACGAGCAGCCCCGAGGCTCCGGGTGGGGATTGTGAAGGTCCAATCCGACCAAAATCTCCCCACATCCAGGCCTCTCATGTACCATATTTTTGCTCATTTGGTTCAACAAGAAACATTCCCCATTTCCCCTTTCTTCCCTCGCCATTGACGAGCAAAATCTTGCTCTACGAACTGTCGATTGATATGATTCCTGCTGCTAGTTGCAGGACCAAGAATCTCTTGTTTAGTTCTTGTTAATTAAAGCCTCTGGAAATGATTAAGTGCCAACCTCGTTGTCGTCTGGCCCATTTGCCTTGCCTGCTAAGCAAAAGCATCTGCGCAAAGGCGCCGGGGTTCTGCAAAGCCCTCGCTAACCCTGCTCCCCTGCTACTCACTCACTCATGGTGGGCTTTGGTGACGGAGACCCATCCATCTCCCCTCAACGATGGAATCATGCATCATGCGAACTACTCGTAGTATCAAGTACAATCTTCGTTGTTGTTGTTGTTGTTCGTTGTTGATTGATTCGATTTGGTAAGCGAGAGCTGGAGCAGTTCGTGGCACCGATGAAGCTCGAGCTTATAAAGAGCAAATAATCATCACATCATCGGCAGCAACAACAACCACCTCTCTCTTTCTCGAAAGGGAACCACTACCATTTTTTGAAACAGGCCTTTTATTACTACTAGTAGTATTCCTTTGATTTGATTGCGTTTTGGTGTATTCTATTCTGGCATTGGACGAGGCAAAAGGATGCACTGGTAGAGTAGATATTTTCTCCTCCCAATGTACCGCATCGGTACTTACCGAAAAGAATTGCTACTCCTGCTAGTTGCAAAGTGAAAGTTATCCGTGGGCCGGGCGGTTTGTTTGTTTGTTTGTTTCGCTCCCACTCTGCTGCCTGCTCGGCGGGGTACAAAGCTTAGTGCACTTTAATAACCTATTAGTATAAAATTTATCTGAAACTTATCTTGCTTTTTTTCTTTTTTCCTTAGGGGGGAAAGCTTTTGTAAGTAGCTTTGCTCCCTCCTCCCATGTCATGGCTGATGCATGGCACTAGCTGGCGGCTATGTTGCAACGAAATGGCACGGGAACGGCCGCGTTTCCGTTGGGCGGAGAGAAAGCCCGGAACCAAGGGCCACTGTTTGGCAGGTAGCCTTTGGAACAGCTGCCAACAAGGTTCATGATGCCCACGCTACACTAGCCTTGCCAAAATGTTGGCTGGAGCCTTTTTTTCAGAGAAAATTCATGGCTTGGCAGCAAGGAGTACTAGTAGTATTTGGTACTAAAATTGTTTTGAGAGCAACATGGCACCCGTTGCCATTGGCAGGACACCAAAGAGAGAATTCATGGCAGGGCAGGGAAGGGAAGGAGGCAGAGAAGTCACTGTAGCCGGTGAGCCCGCCGGGAAAGCGGAGGTCGATGGCGATAAGGCCGAGTCGAGTGGAGGGCACGGATGACGGGGTGGTATGTCACTCCACTCCTAGAGTAGTACTACTAGTACTGGTGCTACCGGAGCGGAGGGAGGACAGGGAATTGATGGGCACATGCAATGCACCTGCGCCACGGCCTTGCGTGCTTCACTCTCACTCACTGCCGCCCGCGCTGCTCCACTCCACTCCAAGGCAGTACACCACCATCTAAAAAAAAAAGGTAGTACACCACCGCAGGGGCAAGGTCGTAATGAGGGGAGGGCAGCGACGGAATTCATTCATTTGGTTTAAATGAGCGAGCGGCTTCGATGATCCCAGGCGGACGGAGCTTCAGCGCCATGTCAGTGACCCAACTGCAGGTGCAATTACGGCACCGAAGCAGCGTCCATCGCAAGGCCAAGGGATGAAGGGGCCTTTATGACGCCGCGTTTGCGTCGCACATCCATTATGTTATTATTATGGGATTTTTATGTTGCATTCATGGAAATTTTCTGCAAGGAATGGTGCTCCCTCACTCCAGGTTTATATTTCCTAATACATGCTTCGAAACTTTGTTTCATCACCAATTAAATTAGTAATGCATTCGATACATGCCAAAAGGATTCTACAGTAGGTCATATGTTAGTGACCTGATTGATAGTAAAAAAGGGAAAATACATAGTATTTACACTTAACGCAAACAAAGGAACCACCAAGTTAAAACCAACACCGTCATCGTTTGTTGGACTCGTGACCAGACGACACCAACTTTACCACATTTTTTGCAACACGCATGACTAGACACCTTTGACTTATGCCATTGGGGCATGCTTTGACACGTCATTTGTCGCACTAGTGACTGGATGACTTTGACTTTGCCGTAGAAAATTCGGGCTCACCACGGCCATGCCTACCAATCTTATCGGTGCCGAAGGGACGCTGATTGGGTGCCGTAACTGCACCTGCAGTTGAGTCAATGGCATGTGGGCCAGCCGTCTGTTAGGCCCACATGTCATTGCCCCAACTGCAGGTGCAGTTACGGCACTGAAGTTCAGTCCCGCAGAGAGGAGACATGCTGGAAGAGAGGAAAACTAGGCCTTCCCCCACACCAACCAAACATGGACACACAACTTTTCTATGTCCATTTGCACCGGCACAAAATTGAGTCCACAATTTCCAACAACACATCAAGTTCGCCGGTGCCGCCACTAGTCGGTCGTTTCACCTCTAGCTAGGTGCTTCGCCCAAAAGGATAGATTCCCAAAATTTGACGCAACTAAACAAACGCACCACACCACAGCAACATAGAGTTAACACTATTACCGTCATCATTTGTCGGACTCATGACCGGATGACTCTGACCTTGTTGCATTTTTTGTCGCACTACCGGCCAAATGACTTTGACTATGGCGCACCAAAAATTTGGTCCACCATGACCATAGTTATCAATCCTACCATTGCCAAAGAGAGGACAGATGTTCGAAGAAATACAAAACAAGACCCTCTCTTACATAGTACGAACATGGACACACAATGTTCGTATGTTGGTTGCGCCATTGCAAATTGCGTCAGCAATGGCCGGCCAAACACCAACTTCAGCAATGCCGCCTCCAGTCGTCGATTGGTCCCCCTTTAGTTAGGTGCTCTGACCAAAAGGACATATCTCCAAGATGATGTTAAAAAAAGTGATGACCTGTAAAACGTGATGGTCAATTGAAAGAGATAGAAAGAAACGATTTGCCGCATTTACTACCTCTCACTACTGATTTTGTTCAAGGACTTGAATTATCGCAACAGACAAACGCGAAAATTGGTAGTGAGGAGTACCAAATGCAGTGAGTGTTTCTTTCTCTCTTTGTGGTTTGGCTCTAGTTTTGTATCTTCCAAACACATGTGCATACACTCCATACTCGAGAATGGATCTACAGAGCATCAAAATCAATAAGTTCATTGATAAGTTGCCCCTATCGAGGGGGTCCACTAGAGGTGGGCATATTAACCAAGATTAGGAAATAATCATGATTGAAATCAAACGGAACAACAGTAAAAAAATCGGTCCCAAAGCCGCCCATGCCTAGGGTGCACCATCAACACCGCAAATATAATCTTGCTTGACGAAACATTTTCCTTTTTGAAGATGCGGTTGAGATCCTCGTCTCCTCGGCTCTGCATTATTGCGATACACACAACCATCGGCAACTATTTTCCTGAGCAAAGTGGATGGAAGACAAGTACTATAGTAGACCAAAACATCAACGTGTCAACAATACTCGAACTTGATTTTCGGTAGGCTGGGGTTCCGGTCAATTGATCGACTTGGTGGAGCTATTTGAGCGCTGTCACGCCATGAATGCGCCCAGGAATCGTGAATGGTACTGATGTGTTTGGGTACGGCGATGGTGCGGCTATGCATGGGAATGACGAGTGGCAGAGTTT